GGAATGTCAGAGTACCAAACATATATACAATTCCACAGTGTTTGCAGGGAAAATTCCTCACATAAAGTCAAGTTTAATTTCCTCAGGAAAAGATATGTCATCATAACCCCACTTTGCTACTTATGTCAAACACCTACTCTATACAAATCTCAAAATGAGAATAAATAAACCACACAGTAGCTCTTTGGGAATAAGAAGGGGCTTTTCAACTTAAAAAGAAAGTTCTTTTAAAAATATGTAGTGTATTTGTCTTTACTTCAGTATCTGAGGATCCCAACTACATTAAACTGTGCACACACCCTTGCAGCACCCCACATCACTTCTGAAAAGACCTGTTTGGGAATTACATTTTCTGTTCCATACAAAATTAAACATTTCCACTTCTACCTTTGTTAAAACTTGAAACGTTGGAAATGTCTCATTTTCTATAGAGTGGAAAACTTTCGAAAACACTTGGGCAAAATGCCAGCAAGCTGGTAAAATGGCCCAAGATCCCAGGTGCCAAGGGAGCCCGCCAAGGCCTACCTATGTGCTTAGTTTTATAACACATCCCTGCAGAACATTTCAAATCTATTTCATTAGGGTTCTGCATCCAAAACAGCCTTTCAATGGAAAAGTTTTAACTCTCACCAGTCCAAATTAGTATCATCATCATTAATATTAATTTATCACATCATGATGGACCTGGAGATTAGCCCTGAGCCTTTTACCTCACCTCATCTCTTCAACCGTAAAACGTCTTTCCATTTCCAAAACTGTCTTTTCAGATACTTTGCATTCCCTGCTGAAGCGTCATTCTCAAGCGCTCCACACACAGAAGAGCAGATCCAAGTAGAGAACTCTTACTCAGAACCAAAAGCTGGATTTTCCATAGCTGTGCTACCAGAATAGTAGTGTGTATAGCTGAAGAGTCAGGATAAGCAAGTAGAAGTAATTACTGTTTTCTGATCCTATCTAGATACTTCTCCAAAACACAATTGACTTCTTGCTAAGTAGCAGTCACAGAAAATACTGAGAAAGGCAACACAGTCTAATTGAAGACATGACAGTAATCCATATGAACCAGTGGGCAAGCTAGCAACTGTGAATGAAACTGGACAAGCCCAGCAAAACTTCATCCATAAATACCTCATTGAGCTCTCAACAGTCTTTCATATAGTTTAGATTTTGCAAATTCATATACAAATAAAATTATGAACTTGGTCAAAAACATACCTCGATCTATAGCTAAAGACAATTTAGATTTTACATCCATTTTGTGTTGCTCTTCATGGTGAAACTCATATATGAATTTCTCTGCCTATTTTTTCATACTCCTTGCTGCACTGTAACTGAATCACAGAATATCACCATTTTATTTTACAGGTTTTCTAACCAGAGCATTTAAGTGGTCATGATTACTATATGACTTCAGACTCAACTATATTGGTGCAACCTGGAAAGTGGGAACTGCAGAAGAGGGGAGATAACAAGCTGTCACGAGAAGCAGGGCCTTCTGGCCTGAACTTACCACCAAGGGCAACATAGAATCACAGAGTGGTTTGGGTTGGAAGGGACCATAAAGACCACCCAGTGCCACCCCCCTGCCCCAAGCAGGGACACCTTCCACTAGCCCAGGTTGCCCAAAGCCCCGTCCAACCTGGCCTTGAACCCTGCCAGGGAGGAGGCAGCCACAGCTCCTCTGGGCAACCTCTGCCAGAGTCTCAGCATCTTCATCACAAAAAATTTCTTCCTTATGTCCAATCTAAACCTACCTTCTTTTAGTTTAAAACGGTTGCCCCTTGTCCTGACACTACAGGACTTGGTAAGTCTTTCTTCATGTTTCTTATAAGCCCCCTTCAAGTACTGAAAAGCTTTAATAAAGTATCTGCATATTAAGGATAAAGACATACTAAGAATTGATGTCTTTACAGTAAGCCATAATTCACTGTGTGTCTTACAAAAAATAATTAGATAAAATTTACTTTAATAAGGGGTACTCTGTATCACCAAATTTACATGTAAAATAAGTAGATCTGAATGTCCAGAAGCCTGAAAGAATCCTTGTGTACCCTGCCCAAGCACTCCTCAGCCTGAGTTAATTTACACATATATTCTCACACATTCAGACACTCAGGAAGAGCTAGTGACTTGGCAATGATTGAGACCATTAACAAAAAATGCTCACTAAACATATGTTCCATTTGAGCTGCTTCCTTTGATCTGGTGACAAACAATGCATACAAGTTTTCATTCAAATTCTACTTCACCCACACGCCCGTATTTCTGTCCTTCCTTTAATGCAAGAGGAAGTACAGAAGATTTACTCATCACTCCCCCATTTTGGGGGAATACACACTACATCTGAAGAATCTTACTGTACTGCAAATAGCTTATGGTTTCAGTGAGATCTGTCAGTACTGTTTGTGTGTGAAGGACAGATGTTTACTGACCGTTTCCTGCTGAAGGAGGTGACAGGGCACTGTATATTCTGAGGTGCGCATGAACAAAGACTATATGCAAGGTGCTGAAGAGAAGCCACTCGCACAATCAGAAAATAGGTTTAACAACCTGCAGAAACACTTGAACAAATACAAGCACTTCCGAGGTTCTCCCTAACCAAACCCCACAAGTTTAACTTTTACAAATCAAACTGTCAGTCACGTAAAATGAGTTCAGCTATTAATGAAAAAACAATAAAAGTACAATAGTGAGGAAATGACCTAATGGACCAAGGCAGATTGACTTAATTTGTTATTAATTAACTGTCCTTAGGAGAAACTGTAGAGGGAGTGGCCAAACACCAGGATAACTGTTAACACACTACTTTCCTCTCAATAAATGAGATTTTCATTTCTGGTATTCTCCAGGAAGAATTAAAAGAGAAAAAAGAAAAAGAAAGAAAAAGATACTGTTCTCTGCACGCTGGCAAGACCACTGGTACATGTCACAGCCGATAAATGAAATTAAAGCCCATGTGCAGAAGCATTTAATCAGAAAGAACAAGCGAACAATGTGAAACAGTATCAGCCTTGTTTTGCTCTCATCCTGGGCTTTATACTAAAACTGTTCTTAGCAACATCTATTTTATAATTACATTAATTACCACATTCTAGGGAGAAAAATAACCCTGAATAGCAATTACAGCTTCTCCAAGGGTAATAGAAATGTTACTAAAGAATATCACTATGTAGAGTTCCATGCCTAGGAGGAGCCACACCATCTATAATTCCTCTTTGATATTAAAAGTCTTCTGCAGTAGAAATTATTATTTCTTTATAATTGCATTTATAAATGCAACAGTGGCAAAGGTGCAGCAAAAGTACACTCACGTATTTTTTTCTCTTCAACAGTTTCTAAAATTAGCATGAAAATATTTTCACTCCTGTTCCCCTACTACCAAAGAAATTTGCTGATGGCTAGCCCACTCATCATACTGAACTGCATGTTTTGCCACTAATTCACAAGCTCACAGCCCTCTCCTCCCCCAGCCCACTTGTCATTCTCAACAAATTTCCACTACAAACCTTCCTTCTCCATACCCCAGCCATCTGGGATTGCTTCTTTTCTCCACCTCATTTCTAACTTCCTCACCTCTCACCCCTTGCTCTCTGAAAAGAGATCTTTCCTGGAAATTATTTTGTTACATTTCTTAAATCAGGCAGAATACTGTCCAACTTTTTGCCTTGATGCAGTAAGGGATGAAATAAAGACTGGGGCGTTTGTGTATCGTTTGGACAACAGTGAGCAAATTCGGCACAGAAAACTTTCCAAATTAATGCCCATGCACTAAGTTCGTTTCCTATTTCCTTCAAAAAACAGAAAGTGTTTTTCAAAAGAGCAATTTGTACCAGAGACTATTCTCAGAGGCTCAAACTAGCCCTTTCATGTTTTCCATTCCAGACAAATGAACGAAAACTTCCTTGACAGTAGGTCTCTTCATTCAACTGCTCTAGTCTCAATGACTTTATTAATAAATAAAGCAGATGTAAGAACTGCTACACTAAGAGGCAAAAAGGCACTCATCTGATTTGCTTAAGTTGTGTTTTTGTTATCCTGATCATATGTTCTACTGCTACATCTCCACTACGTGGGCTTCCACTAAATGAAACAGGATTTCTAAGAGGCAGAAGAATCAGATGTTCACCCACTGAGAAAAATACAGCCAGTTGGGTCAACACATTGAAAGCACTCTTGAACATCCTGCTTCTAATATCCAAAACGGAGCTTCTTCAAGTTTGTGACATTAAGTTCAATTAGTAGCCCAAACAGGATGCAAATATTAGGAAGAGATACTTTAGGCAATACTAAAATGATACAACCAGAAACTGAAAATTTTAGCAAGATGAAAATTGCTTGTGGAGAGAAACAACAAAACCTCACTAGCCTCCCATGTACAATGGGAGACTGCCCCAGAGCATAGAGCTACACCCAGCCAAACATTTTTGAATGAAGTAATAACAGAGTAAGTTTTAGTTAAAAATTAACACAGAACAGATTTTTCTCTCCAGTAAACACAGAAGCCAAAATCAAAGCATTTAGAGCTTGAATGCTGGTAAAAGCAGCATCTGCCACAGAACACACAGCACCATGGAAAGATAGTGGAGTGATTTAGGCTACTGGGTGCTCTTCAGAGCATAACTAGCACTCCCAAAATGATAGCCTTATTTTATGGGATTGAGAAGTAGGGAGCCTTCATAACATGGACTACCCTAACTCCATTTTTCCATTTCTCACATGGAAAAATATTAAACTTGTCTGTGACTCAGTTTCTCTCTCTGTTAAATTACAATTGTATGCACTGGTAGGTTTACTGACTGCTTAAAATCCTTGAGGGTAACTATAATATTATGCCTCCACTTTCAGTATTCTCCAAGACACTTTAAAATAAGATCACAAAAAATTTCATTGAATTAATAAAAAACAATGTTCAGCTTAACTTCTTGACCATGTGAATGTTCTGTATACTAGGGAAAACCAATAGCTGTCCAACAAATTAAATATAGTAAAACCAGACTTACATTTGTGTTGCAGAGTTTATATTGCTTGTAGGTGCCAATGCATACAATCGCTGCAGCCCTTTGAGGCTGGGGCTGACCCTGGACTGCGTGGTGTGATGCAGACCCATGGTGGTTTGAGTCACTGCCATGAAACAGGCTTTGAGACACAGGAAACGAAGACGACTGATAAACTGAGGGTCCCAGGACTTGATGTCCAGCCTGAGGCTCACTTTCTTCTTGATAAAGATTTCCATGTTGAAGTGAAGGACTAGCTGCCTGGCTGTAAGTGTTCATGAGACTTGGACTCTGATGAAATACATGGTTCCTCGAAGACTGTCGCTGCCTCCGAAGTTTCTGAGGCTGCTGACCAGTATCAGTTTGTAAAGGTAAAATGTATGGCACTTTTCCATATCCATACTTTCCTGGACCAATAGGATTTCTGTTTCTGCTTCTAAAAAGAGAGAAAGAGGGAGAAAACAGTTACTGAAGTCATAAGTGAAGGAGCAGTTGGATACTTGTATGACTTGTTATTTGTCAAGTATTATTTGTTACTCACTGCAAAGCAACAGGTATCCAGAAATTTCAAACTATTTTACAGAAATTACGTACAAGCTGTAGTCCTGCTTGGTGTATGAGGAATCTCTGAAGAAGTCTACTGGTTGAACTAAATCCTGGGCCCTCTTCGCCTGAGTCACATGGCAAGTCATTTAGTGTCAGCTAGCTAAGGCAAATGGCTAGCTATGGTATAAAGTAGCAATTTGGGGGGGGCAGGTAGTTGTTCTTTTAATTCCTAGGACTGTCCTACTTTAAAATGGAAATTCAGAGAATCAAAACTGTCTATTCCTAAAATTCATAACCCTGCTTCTGAGGAGCTTGAGCTACATAACAGCAGGAAATCCCTATTGTGAATTTGGGTAATGACAGAAGAAAATTTGAATTCAGTATGGCAAAGATCATTAAAAATTGTGCATCCATATAAAAGGCCTCCTGTGGTTCTGCTTCATTTGCTAATTAAAAATGGAAATAGAAAAAGGATAAGGAACATCAAAATATTACTGAAAGTCCTCTGGAAATGATTACAAATGCAGCAAAATATTCTTATGGTACACAGTTCATTTTATCTTCTCTGGCCAGCAAATTTACTCTTTCAAAAAAAATAAAAATACACAAAGCATGGATTAGCAATACATTTAATTAGTAAGTCATGATCCTGCAATTTGTTGCCAGGATAAACTGTATATTACTAAAACATTACACAAGAGCTGGACAGACCCCAGCACTAATCAAAGAAGTTTCAGGTCTGCTCTCGTGCACACAGATTTCTTCTCACTGAAGACCCTGTGTTTTGGGTCGTCCTACACCTGTATCAGCACTCAACCAGCTGGTACTCCCTGAAGGGCAGCTTTGTCCCCTGCACACTCAGAGAAACACAATGGACTCAGTCGAGAAACTCAGCTCCAAATTACAAGTGAAAAATCATGAAATGAGTAATACCACATTTCAGTCATACCATTCAAGAGGGTTAAATCCTGGAATTTTATGTGCAACCAATAGGCTCATTTGCATTTGCTTTTCTTGTCATCCTGTACAGCTCAACATTGCATCAAGCCTTGATTTCTAATGCTGCAGTCTGAAGAATAAATTGGCAAAAAGTATTTCTTCCACTTCAGAGCAATGTGTGAATACAGTTGTTTGGGGTAACCTTTGCAGCTCAGGAAGGGAGACACCACTAAAAGAGGGTCATTTTCTTTATGTCCATAAAATGTATTTATATTTTTTAATATATATAAAATAGACTGGAACTGCAGTGAAAACCAGTGGTTATAACTTGACATACTTATTTTCTAGAAACTGAAGTGTTACAGATGTCAGACAGCCACCAGATCAGAGAGACTTTTCTTTGGGTTTGTTTTTTCTTGTGTTTATTTTCTTCCCCAGTCTTATATTCACCCAAGACTCTTGTTACATGGGAACCTTGGAAGTCATTTACTTAACATTCTAGCTTTATGGCCACGTGGGGCTTTTAATCAATCTTCCTGGCTCAAGGATGTGTGAACAAGAGTGTTGGTTTACCCTGGCAGATAAGTGACCAGCACTCTTGAGCTGTTTATATCCGTTAAAACACTCTGTGACTATGATGGTCATTGTCGAGGTAGGGTTTTGGTAGTTAGAGAAATGTAGTATAATGGCTTTTAGCATTAAGGGAGAGGAGAAAAAAAAAAGCCTTCTGTAAGTGGACAGGAGAGGAAAGGAAGAGAAATTATGAATGGGAATTATTTCAGAAGTTGAGACTAAAACCAATTTGATTTAAATAAGCACAGTTTTGTGTTGTGTTTTGGTTTTAATTTAAATGGGTAAATAAATTGATTCCTCCTATGTTGCTGCTACTTGTAATTTTTAAAATACTTTTCATTTTTAAGTAAGAGAAAAAAAAAAATCTTTCCTGTGATTTCTAGTCATATTCTGCACTCTGAAAACACTCTGGTATCATAGTTTCATGGAGCATCTCAGATTTTGGAGCAAACTGGTTCATCCTGGAAAACAGATACAACTCCTTATTTTTACTTGCTCCAGTCTCTAACGATTCTTATAGACAGCAGCTTTCTTCTCAACCTGACCACACCAAATTTGAAGTGTCTGAGATACAAACCTTAGCAACAACTCCTGGCACTGGGAAAGTTACTGCTTCATTGCAGGGAGCACAGACTTCATGCAGTGGTGTTCGCAGAGGTGGACAGACAGTGACAGGTCTACTGAAATTAGCCTTTCAAATTTATCATCTACAGTCAGGTTGCTTGCATTTTTCATCAACAGCAGGAGAAAGATGCTAATAACTGAGCAATAAGCCATGTGGAGACCAGCGGAATGGTAGGAATATGCCTCTGTCCCAGCCTTCTGAATGCTAAATTCTTTGCAGCAACAAGCACTAGACTCTTCCAGAGAGGAATACCTAGATGCATCATCCAACCCACCTGGAAGAATTGCTGCCTGGCAAACTAGGAGAGGCCATGCAAAAGGTCAAAAATGAGACTTATGTTTGACTGTTAACCTCCAGTTCAAGGTCATGAATTGGAACTGAAAAAACCTGAAGGACATGCAAGAAATGGTGATAAACTAGGACTCTTCAGTCTGGAAAAAATGATGAAATGAGCATAGAGTAGTCTTAAACACAGAATGACTAGTATCTGAAAGGACTCATGGCTGAAGGCAGCAAGTATCTAAAAGCTGCTGGAATCTCATCAAATTACTTGTGGAAATTAGAAAACCTTGATTTTGAGGGAAGCCAGACTTCTTTCTTATAAAACAGTTGATTGCTGAAACTAACATACAACAACAGCACCTACGAAGTGAAAGCAGTAACACCATTCTAACTATTCTATGCTGTAACTTGGAAATGTTGCTGGAGTCCCCACTGATGAAGAAATGAGGCACCATTTCTGGTAGCCTAAGTTTCCCAGTACCCTTATGATGACATGCCTGTGGTTGCATCAAGGCTCATCGGGGTAAGTCCTCTCCTATGCCTCTTCCCCACTAACAGTTAGGGCCAGAATAAACTAAGACATTGCCGTGTACCACTGAATGCCAGTCTCAATTCGCTCAGGTTGTGCCATAATTATGACCTGGAATTTTCATGAAAACACACTTCCTCTGAAATGGAAGGTTTTTTGTAGCTGGGGCCATCACATTTCTTTCAATATACAAACTTCTGGAAACATTGTAAAACACAACCTCTAATTATTAAGGTCTTTATTGGTGTTCAAGCATTCATTCAAACCAATACTGTCTGGACTGAAACTATTCCAAACACTGTCCGTTTTGCCTTAAAGCATCTTTCATTCACACTTGGCAACATCCTTATAAATCAGAGATGCAGTTTGTTGCAATGTAATGAAGAAGTTTGTAAAAACAGCTTGGTGGTAATTAACTTTTGTAATTCTTGGGGAGTATCAGGCAGTATTTATGATGTCATGCAGCAATGACGGAGTATTATGTAGGTCCAGACACAATGAGAAAGCAATGGAGAAAGAGGAATCAGGGAAAGGAAAGGGGGAGGAAAATCAGAAAAAAACCCCTACCATTAACTTAATAATCAGAATTAAACTAACCTTCCTGACACTGTCTACTTTATGCTAAATCATGCAGCTTTGATCTGCTGGTAGGAGATGGAGGTAGGGAAAGCCCTGAAGGCTTGTTGGGAGTTTTAAGTTGACAGCAGGACTTTTTCTTACCTGTCACTCATTACAATTACCTATATTCATTATAAGTCACGTAACTCACTCCTCCCCACAGCATGGCTTGGAAGCTTTGGAAAATCCTCCTTATTGTTGTGTGGTTTGGTTTATTTTTTTAAAGCACACTATAATGACCCAGGTCAGAGTTGGGATGCACTCTCATTTAATGCAACAGGTAAAGGAGGAAAAAAGGATTAGCAAGTAACAGCACACCCCTAAGCCTTATGCCTACTTAGGCAGATATAAGCTAGAGTGAGATTTTGCAGCATTAGACTTTACAAATCCAGGTATGCTAAAAAGCAACAGAGTCATCCTTCTTAACGTAGCAATGGTTGAGAAGAACATTTGAATAGGATGCTGAGTATGTGTTGCTACAGGAGTAAAGTTGAGTGTATGAACAACAGTCAACAGCTCTCAGACAAACTCCGAAAAGCCAATTTGAACAAAATCTGAGTTTTAGACAACTTTGACAAAGTTTTTCCAGTAAGGTCTTAGATTCTGTTCATGGTTTATCAGCATTAACAGAAATAATGAGTCTGGCAGCAGAATGAAGCCCCATATTCCTCCCACCAGAACAATTCCTAAAATAGCTGCATTTAGAAAGGATTCTAACACGTACCTGCAACATACTGCACTGCACTGGCATATCAAGGACATAACTGCATCAATACAAACTCTTCACATAGCCGTTATGAAAACAGCCACAACAAATAATGCTTAGGTTCCTTCTGATGAACACAGTCCCTGCAGAGCAGATATTGCTTATAGATGGATTTACTTAGTTATTAAAACCACAAGTTGGAGCACTGATCATGAGAATGATTGCAGGGTTGAACTCAAATAGGTATGAGAAGTCAACCACTGGCACTAAGATACAGGCATTATCACACTCAGAACTGAAGCAGTTAAAGTAACACTTTACTGCTCATTTAACAATACAATAAATAGTTAAAAATCAAAATAAATCCAACTCCCAGAGAGGAGAAAACACCAACTATATGAAAAACAGGTGACAAGAAAAAGAAGCCAGGGACTTTATTCTGCAGGATTACTCAGTGTTTTTCACTTGTCTAAATCCAGTGCTCTTTCTACACATGCTCGGGCCCTTCAGGAAGTTAACAGTAACCTACTGCATCAATCTTTTTGAAAGCACTCCCCTTTTCATCTGAAACAAATACGACTGTATTAGCAGAATAGTCATACTAATTTTCCTTTGCCA